ACTTTTGCATATGTAAAAATGTTATATATTTGGCTATAAAATGATGAATATAAATATAATATAAATTTTGTTAGTTATAAATTATGTTTTTTTTTTAATATTTTATCATATATATCTAATATATTATGTATTTTTGTAAAACGCTTAGACCGTCTATTAAATTGTCTAGGTTTCGATTAGGCGTTCTAAGCACTAGGCATTGGGTCACCGCCCACTTAGCGCCTAGCGCCTAGCGCTTTCTTGAACATTGGAAAAAGTAAGACTCGGTGAGCTGCAAAACTATTGTTTTATGACCAAAAGTTCTCATGTCCAGATTCGGATCTGGATTTATTTAAGTAACCAAGCTCTAGTAAGTAGAGCCTTGATTATTTGGTTGATTTTTTTCTATCTCTCTCAGGCAAAATAAAAGATCCAAACTGTTGTTTGAGATGGATAATAGGCCTCGAGTGTTCATCAATTTCAGGGGAAAAGACTTGCGGCGGACGTTTGTGCCACATCTCAAATATCATTTGAAACATAACAACGTGAATGTGTTCACGGACGACGACTTGACTGGAAAACCGTTGGTGAATCTCTTGAAATATATCAGAAAATCACGAATCGTGATCGTCATCTTCTCCATAAGCTACTTGGAGTCAAAGTGGTGTTTGCAAGAGCTTGTGCAGGTCAGGAATTGCTTAAACAACAAGAAGCTTGACTTCTACGTTATACCAATCTTCTATAAGGTCCGGACTTCCCACGTTAAGGACCAGACCGGAGATTTTGGCAAAAAATTCCTAGCTTTGCGGAAGAAGCATCCCCGTCTCACGATCTGGGCATGGAAGAGAGCTTTGAGATCCGTCGCTAAATCTAGTGGATTGACTTATGAAAAAGAGAGGTATGGTTTGGGACTTTGGGGCCATTATCAAAAGTTTAGATCTTACATGACTTAAAAAGGTATTTGTCTTATCTTTAACATTTCTTTTTCTAGTTTTGCAGTTCACTTTCAGAGTTGGATTTCATCTATAAAATAGTCAAAAAGGTTAAAAAACTTTTAACCGAAATTGCATTG